TTGTATTTGGTCCAACGCGGAGCGTTCTATAATGTCGCGGTTGGATAAATTTTACATTTCTGTGGATTTGGTGGATGATAGTAAGATAGTAACTGGGATTCAACCATGTCACTTATCTGATCATGATTTGGTTTACTTTCATATTTTTGATACGCATCACGTTCTTACGTGGGGCCGGGGGTGTTTGGAAAATGAACACTTCTCTCCTCAAGCATGAAAAACTGCGAACTGAAATTATATCTTTCTGGTCAGACTGGACTGAGGCGAAGATATTATTTAGTGATGTCGGGGGAGTGGTGGGACGAAGGCAAAGCTGAAATGAAACATATTATTATTGAGTATATAGCAAAGCTGTCAGGCAGCAAATAAATGAACAGCGAGTCCATCTTATGAACAAGTTCCATCGTCTATCGGAGAAAACAAATTTGTCACCTCACAAATTAGAACAGTTGCAGCGTGTTCGGTCCGATTTATGTGAACTTGCTTCTCAGAGATTGGAGGGGGCTAAAATTCGGAGTCGTATTGGAATCATCAGGAACAATGAGAAGCCTTCACGCTTCTTTTTACAACGTGAACGCAGGGTGTAGTAAAACACGGGCGGTGAAACGCGCTAATATTTGCCTGATCCATGTGTGATGCACGGGAGACTGGCGCGAGCGTGCGAAATGCGCGGATGAAGCGGGATTTTTAAAGATGAAGCGAAGCAAAAACAAGAGACAAAAATATTTAAAGGCAATCAAAAAGTGTAAATTTTTAAGGTAAATTTATCCTTAAAATGGAAAAAAATTAACTTGTTATAAAATAGAGACTCTGGTAATTAATTAGTATTGCAAATTACATCGCTGGAGTTGGAAAAGCATTTTTAAAATGTGAAATTATTTGAAGGCATAGCGATTTTATCATAAAATATATTTACATTTTTCAGGCAATGACAAATTGTAGTCGAGTTTTTTAGCCAGACCGAGTGGAAAAAAAGTTAACTTCAACCCTTTAAATTATCTATAATTAGTTATACTTTCGATCTGAAAAGGTTAGAAAATGGGCTTTTGTGGGCTTTTTTTTCAATTTAAAGATTTATGACCAGGTCACTTGCGTAATTTACAATGACACAACTTGTGACCTTGTTTTGATAAAGTTAGAAAACAATTGTCAATTTAGAAAGCATTGGAAACATTTTCATTAACATATTCAGGCATTCAAATGCAATATGAAAGTTAGGGAAAATATTCAATTATAAGGAACAAGCAGAAAATTCCGTTTTTACCATGTTAAAGGTTGTTTTATTTCTATTTTCGAACTTACAATATGCAACTGAAATGTCCGCCAAAAGACTCCAAATTGCATGTTCACAGCGATGTCGCAGTTTTACAAGCGCGGAAAATTTTTGACCTTTAAATATTTCATGCACAGTATATGAAAACTAGCTTTATTAGGATGTTTTTGGATAATTTAAGTACCTAATTTTCTAAAAATCACCAAATGATAATGGGCTTTTTTAATTTTTAAACATTTTTTGGCTTATTTTTGACATGTGTATGCCAAGTCTACACAATACCATATCGAATGCTAGCAAGCGATGTAGTTTGTTGTCGCAGTTTTACAAGCGCGGAAACTTTTTAACTTTTAAATATTTCATGCACAATATATGAAAACTAGCTTTATTTTGATGTTTTTGGATAATTTAAGTACGTAATTTTCTGAAAATCATCAAATGATAATGGGCTTTTTTAATTTTTAAACATTTTTTTGCCCTTATTTTTGATATGTGCATGCCAAATCTACACAATGCCATATCGAATGCAAGCAAGCGATAGTTTGTTGTCGCAGTTTTACAAGCGCGGAAACTTTTTAACTTTTAAATATTTCATGCACAATATATGAAAACTAGCTTTATTTTGATGTTTTTGGATAATTTAAGTACGTAATTTTCTGAAAATCATCAAATGAGAATGGGCTTTTTTGTTTAAACATACTTTATTCCAGCTTTTTTCATAGGGTGTCAGATTTCAAAAACGCAAAGTCGAAGGCAATGCTATTCCATGTGTAGATTTCGGCATGGACATGTCAAACTGAATCAGGGCAAAAATGTTTAAAAATTAAAAAAGCCCATTTTCATTTGGTGATTTTCAGAAAATTACATACTTAAATTATACAAAAACATCAAAATAAAAATAGGTTTCATATATTGTGCATGAAATATTTAAAAGTTAAAAATTTTCCGCGCTTGTAAAACTGCGACAACAAACTATCGCTTGCTTGTATTTCATGTGTAGATTTGGCATGCACATGTCAAAAACAAGGCCAAAAAAATGTTTAAAAATTAAAAAAGCCCATTCTCATTTGGTGATTTTCAGAAAACTAGGTACTTAAATTATACAAAAACATCAAAATAAAACTAGTTTTCATATATTGTGCATGAAATATTTAAAAGTTAAAAATTTTCCGCGCTTGTAAAACTGCGACAACAAACTATCGCTTGAAAAAAAGAACTTGCTGTTTTTATCAATTTATGGCGCTTCATCTGGTGGAACTTGACAAAAATACATGTGATTGAACATACCTGATTTCCAAACACACATTCCAGTTGCAGGTTTTACAACAACAGCCGTTTAAAAAACTTTTTCTTCGTCTTTTTTTCATCTTATAAACGAACGAAGTTGTTTTGCAAAAACAATCGATCCTCGTGAGTGAGATCCCAGACTTTAATATATCTTACACTACAACATTCCCCATATAATCAGCCGTGATTAAGAATCCGGAAAAAAGATTTTGTCTATAGTAATAGCACAGATCCCAAATCCATTGTGAATTCAGCTTGAATTGTACCTTTTTACGTAGTAATTTTAAAAAGAAGTCAAAACAAACATGCATGCCTGATCAAACCACATCGAATTCGAATAAAAATGAAAATATGCGGGGGGGCCTGCATCACACATAGATCAGGGGCGCCATAGCCGTTTCACCGCCCGTGTTTTACAGCGCCCTGGTGAACGGTACAATGCATCTAAGAAACTGGTTACTGCGTTGAAAACAGTCAATGGGCGTGTCACGGATTCCGACGGGATAATGAAAGAACAGGTGCGGTTTTATAAAAACTTATATACTGCCCAATTGGTTGACGCTCGTGCGCAGGAGGAGGTGCTCCTTTCCATGGATCGTAAGCTGTCCGAATAAGAGAAGTTAACCGTTGAGGCGCTCGTTTCAGAGGAGGAATGTCTAGCTGCCCTTCATGCAATGCCGGCACTTCGAACACCGGGCTCTGATGGTCTCCCGAAAGAGTTTTACGTTTGTTTTTGGGAAACACTGAAAAGTGCCTTTTATTAATGGTCAATTCGTGTTTGGATAAAGGCGAGCTCCCTCTCTCACTTCGTCGTGCGGTTATCACTTTGTTATTTAAGAAAGAGGATCCGGAAAATCTTAAGAACTGGAGGCCGATATCGTTATTAAACGCTGATTACAAATTAATTGCAAAGGTAATTTCTCAACATCTTCGTGTAGTTATGCCGTCTCTAATTCATCCTGATCAATCTTGTGCTGTGCCTGGCAGATCATCGGAAGATAACGCAACTCTGCTTAGAGACATTTCAGACTATGTACAATCAAACAATCTTAAATGTGCTTTCATTGTTATTGATCAAGAAAAGGCTTTCGATTACGTTGACTGGGGTTTTATGCACAAGGTACTAACTCGCATGAATTTTGGTCCAATCATTCGTGGAATTATTAAATGTCTGTATACGCGTGTCCAAAGTGCTATTCTTAGTAATGGAATTTTGTCTGAGATCTTTGACGTTCATAGAGGAGTTCGCCAGAGATGTCCGTTATCCCCCTTGCTTTTTGTTCTTGTTTCGGAATGCTTTGGCCAACTGGTCAGATCTTGCAGAGAAATACAATTTCTTACGTTGCCCGGCGGGCGTGAATCGAAGATCAGTCAATATGCTGACGATAACACTTGTTTCGTCACTAACGATTATGGCCTTTTGAAAGTGCTTGACGTTTTTGAACAGTATGGACGTGCGAGTGGCGCTAAATTGAATCGAACCAAATCTAAGGGACTTTGGCTGGGACGGTGGAGACAGCGATCCGACTCCCCTGGAGGGCTTATGTGGTCGAATAGCACTATCAAAATCGTTGGATTTCATTTTGGGGATGAGAGTGCTTTTGCAAAAACATGGGAAGCCGGAATGGTGAAGTTTTCCAAAGTTTTGACGGACTGGAAGTCGCGTTTCCTGACGCTGTGAGGTAAATGTACTGTCATCAACTCCTTGGCGGCAGCCTCTGTTTGGCACCTAGTAAGGATTTATCCACCTACTCGAGAGATTCTGGACGTTTTGCGGAAAGCGATGTGGAAATTTATTTGGTCCAATAAACCTGAACTCGTACGTCGGGAAATTTGTGTCTCTGGTCTAACTTCTGGTGGCTTGAAAGCAGTAGATATCAAGACGCGGAGCAAGTGTTTGTTAATTCCGCGTGCATTTAAGTTCTTAGAGAAGGGGGCGGCCCCTTGGAAGGATTTGATGCGATATTATATCGGGCGATCTGTTGGTGTCAACGATAATAGTAAGCCTGTAATTGTGACACAACTTCTGAATTTTACAGCTTTGTTCTTCGAGTCTTGCGGGAATTGCAAGTGGATGTAGCCACTCCCAAGTCGTCGAGCTATTTCTATGCCATGGCAATTACTAATAAAGTCATCCCCGTTAGACCAGCATGTCAAATAAAGTGGGATATAAACTTCCGTGGATTGATTTGGAAGGATATTTGGAAACGTATTCATTCGGGGTTGGAAGATCCAGTATTACGTGACTTTTATTGGCGAACAGTGCATCTCGTGCTCAATGTAAACACAGTCCTCAACAAACGGAATTCGCGTATCCCTGCAACTTGTTCTCGGTGTAACAATAGATGGGAAAGCTTGGCCCATGCACTTATCCATTGTCCATTTGTCGAAGAATTATGGCATTTTGTTTTACGTATTTGCAACAGAATTGATCAGTCGATAACAGTGATCACAGACATTATAGATAGGCAGGCAGTCGTTGCATTGATGCTAACGGCTGGAATTAACTTCGGTGTTGGACGCCATTTTCAATGTAAAATTTAGTCGCAAAATCGTTTATACATGAACTTGGCGACTCAAATTAGCCGCGGCTTGTTTTGGACGAGCTCTGAGGGCTCGGATAATTTAGGCCACGTCTTATTGTATAGTCGCAAACAAATTGTCCGTTTATACGACTGTTCGCGACTTATTTAAGCCGCGGCTTATTTTCGCTGACTATATAAATGGCCCTATGTTGTGTCGATCAAGATTATATGGCAACAAATCTGTTAAAAAACTGAAACAATAATTTTTTCATGCATCTAGTCTCTTAATTGTTCCAAGTACAACTTCAATCTTTGCAATCTTAATTAATACTATTCCAATCTTTTAATTGTTTGAGGTGTATTATATATTTGTCCTAACAGCTATCGACCCTAGTTGTCATAAAATAAAATACTCTCACAATCCAAAGCTACCAAACTGATACCCGCCTGCAAAAACAACGCATGTCAATGATTTTCTTCCTTATAGGAGTGCCTGACGAAAATCCAAAGTCTTCATCAAAGAGTAACACCGGAGTCATTATTGGAACCGTGGCAGCAGCAGTGATTGTTATAGTCGCGGCAATTTTCATTGTCGGTTGCTTTCTCTTTGGAAGACTAAAAAAACAAAGAAGGCGAGACATTGGTCCCATTCAAAATGCTGCTTATGAAGGTGACAGACATGCAGACATAATGCCGCAGGTATTTCATTCTGAAAGTAGACCACCAGCCTATTCTGAAATTGGGCTGCCACAAGTATTCTATTCCCAAAGTGATTATGGGCAACCAGCAAAATATCACAGTTCCACGACGGTGTCGATTGGTGCAAATTTTCAAAGCGCAAATGAAGCATATCCCAACCAACATCACAGAGCTCACAACGAAAATGCCCAACGTGATGCTCCACACAACTTGAATAGCAATCCAGCAAACGAATCTATGTACGAAGAAGTATCCTAGAGAGTGGTAATGCGCCGTTTTTAGGGTTTAACTTAATGTTTAAGTTCCCTGTTTAAGAAATAGAAAACATACGAATCTTCTCATTTCATGGAAATATCCTGAGTCTGCAATCACGGCTTCTATTTTTGAATTGCATAATAATTAGATGCACTATCTAGTGTATATAAGATATCTATGACTATGGTATACGCAATGCGATGTGGGACAAATGTGGGTCAAATATTCATTGTTTGACAGTGTTAGCCTCCCATCAAATTACTCAAAATTTCCGAATACTTTCACTCTATGTTATTCGTAAATCGTGTGTGCTCATCTAGTGTTGTTCATAATTAAAATATCATTAATAATTCATAAACCTTGTGGCAAATCATGTCAGCCATAATTTTCTTTTTAGTAACGACCAGAAGGCTTTTTTTAAAAAAAATTAATAAATTGTAACAACGTTTCGGAGTTTACTCCATCATCAGGTTACATTTATACGCACGTATAAATGATGATGGAGTAAACTGATAAATGGAGTTTATGATGGAGTAAACTCCGAAACGTTGTTACAATTTATTAAATTTGTTTTAAAAAAAGCCTTCTGGTCGTTACTAAAAAGAAAATTATTACATTTAAATGAGGCTTAGAGAAAGTTCGCTTCTAATCACATTGAAGAGTCAGCCATAATATATCACGTGGAGTGACTTTATATCTGATAAAACACATGTATGCATGTGACATTACATAATTGTTCATTTTATAATTAGTATATTCTTATATAATTGTTCATCCCAATTAGTATTTTTTGTAGTCGTATTTTAAGCAATCTCGGATGCGCCTCGCGTTTTATATCTCATAAAACACTCAGCTCGTGTTTTAAATAGTACTTTTAAATAAATAAATAAATAAATAAATAAATAAACGAACGAACGAACAACGAACGAATAACAGTTATACACAACACATTATTTGGCGGACGTCTGATTGCAGATGCAAAGCTTTTGTTTTGTGTTTCATTTAATTAATATCTAATAATATACAAGAAAAAAAATGATCAATTCTCATTTGCTAAGAGCAGTGCAATTTTTTCTAAATGCAGTGCCAAAAAATGAAATACGGTGGACTTAGTTTATTGGCGAAAATTTTGACAAAGAAAACATTTTTTTACATTCATTCGCCGCTGAAGAAATTTGTTCTCCTGCTACAGTAGCTTATCGTTAACTTTCAACTTCTGTTTGACCTTTCGTTGACGGCGCGAAAGAACAACAAATGAACTTTTTCGGTGGCGAAATTTTTCGCCAGCGGCGGCGAAATACGTGAGTGGAAAACGGGCTTAACTACATATAATGAAAAGAATTAACATCATTTTATCTCTGCGAAGTCTGCTTGTTTGACTACGATCTGGTGCGCGTATATAGGCCTAATGCTTAGTGAAACCCATTTCAAACCACTTCAGGTTGTTGTTTTATATTGATAGTTTTCTAATTGCGATGGCCACGGGTGGCCTATCGCTTTAAATCTGTCGCTGTCGTCGTTTTCCATCGACGAGAAATCGACTTTCCATCAAGGCACTGCAAGCTCAGAATAAGAAATACTTCATGTATTTGAACTTTTTAAAGTTTTTAAGCAATTAAGGCCTGTTTAAACGGATGCAACATGTTGGACCAACATCACCCAACATTGTTGTGTCCAACATGTTGGGTCCGTTTAAACACCATGTTGGATATTGTTGCACTATGTTGGATCCAGTTTGATTTTGTTCAACTACTTTTCATCCAACATCGTACAACATTTGGCGAAAAATCAGTACAACGTCATCGTTCCCATTGACATTATTTAAATTTGACAAGAAATATGCGATAATCTCACCTGATATAGTATTATAGTTTAAAAAAAACTTTATTCATACTAACGATGAGGTAAAAATCCATATAATAATGTTAAAATATACAGAATGTAGAGGCCTACACATGCAGCAAGCAAAAGCAGCCATCTTGAAAACATGAAAACAATGTCATTGTCAATAACATTGAAAATCTATGGTATATTTAATTAATATACAGTAAATACTGTCCAATCAACACACGGGTCACACTGTTCCTATTATCAAACAGAATTTTGTACTAATTAAACTGCTAAAAGTTGTTGGATTGTTGCATCCGCTTGAACACGTTGACCAACAATCGTCCAACATTGTTGGTCCAACAATGTTGGACAATGTTGCATCCGTTTAAACTGGGCTTTATATTAGTGCGAAAGCGTTTTTTCTTGCTGGAAAGAATGGATTTATCGGTCATGATTCCTCGAGCAGGTACGTTCTGCAAATATGTAAGTCGATTTCAATTTGTACCTTGTCTTTTCAGCGCGGGTACAAAACATATAATTTTTCAAACTCGAGTTTGATTGTTTGAGGGGCCAAATTGTAGACCCAATGGCAGATTAGCATTTATTTTTCGCACGGGGGGAGGGGAGTTAAGGACATCTTTTTACAAGCTAAATTCTGACCCCCCCCCCTGGAATTCAGTTTAAACCCCTTCCCTGGAATTTCCAAGGAATTCATTGCCAGATACCCCTGGAAAGTGGCTTTAATTGCAGACCATCCCCTGGATTTTGGTCTCTAATCACCCAACTCCCTGGATTTCTGTGGTCTTTTTCAGCCCTCCCCCCCTGGATTTTCCAAGGCCTTTTTACACCCCTTCCCTGCATTTTCCAGTGTCCTCAACCCCCGGTGCAGATAATAAATGGAATCTGCCAATGGCAATAAGGTTTATATTTCCGAATAATTGAATAGCTTTGCATGCCTTCTCAACCGTGCAAAAATGCATTTCCACATCAACTTTCACTCTATTCGTATCTGGCCATTTTCGTTTGTAATTATAGCACAGAAAAGGTATTTGTACTGGACAATTAAAAACTGAATTTTCTTGCTGTGCATGGAAATACTTAGTCTCCTGCGCAGATAAATAAATAAATAAATAAATAAATAAATAAATAAAGTCATGTTATTAGACTAAAAGTGTCTATCGATGAGGGTAGGGGACCCATCTTGCACACTCCATCACAAAATTCAATTGCATCATGACAGTGCATGTCCTCACAAAGCGCGCCTTACACAGACTTACCTCGATCCGAATGGTATCCGTTTGGTCGAACATCCACCATACTCACCAGACCTGGCTCCTTGCGACTTCTGGGGTCTTTCTAAAATACAATCTACCATTGCTGGAAGGCCGTCGGATCCACGACCTTGCTAAAGCCGTCCATTCTGTGATGAGGGATATACCTGCTTCAGAATACCGCCAGTGCTTTCAGAAATGGAGAACGAGGAGGCAACGATGTATAGAAGTCGGAGGAAGCTAGTTTGAGGGAATGTGACTGTAATTTGTGACGTTGTGTGTGAATTATCAGAAATATCGGACAAGTGGCAGAATTTTTGATCCGCCCTCGTATCACCTACAAAGATACGACAAGCTTATGATTTTTCTTTGTGGTTTCCTCATGAATTATTAATGAGGTTTTGAAATGATATAAATTTTTCCCAGTGTGTTATCGGAAAGCAGCCTTTGAAGAAAATTTCTTTAAAATTACAGGCCCATGCACGTACTACATAACCTTACACCAAAACTTTATGATAAAATTTAGCACAATAGAAATAAATAATTTCTGAAAACTTTTACAATAATTATTTAATACAGTAGATATTAAAAACCTGGAAATTGTTTAAACATATGTCTCTTTCTCGAAAACTTCACATGACTCAAATTCAGCAATGTCAATACCATCTTGTCCTTCGGGTATGCTGTCTGCAAGATCTCGCACCAAAGGCGAGGTGATACTACCATCCTTGCTATCCTCGCTACCCTCTTCTGGCGATGTCTTCCATTTTATCCGTGGGTCAGGAGTTAGATCAGGTTCATGCGAACTTATTTCCTTCAGGAAATTCTCCATTTGTCTCAGTGGTATGCCCCCATGCAAGGTTTTCAAAGGATGGATAAGTGAAAGTACACTGTGAACTTCTCCTTGGATTGCTATAAATAGATAATTTAGACGAAGCATTTTAAGAGGGCTGTCTCAAAATTTGGACACTTTTAGAATATAGCGTGCTTATTAGTATACTGGGTGTTGGTGTATGTATATGAGAATGTAAACCGACAAATCTCCGGCACTCCTATGGGGTCACCACTTTCCAGTTTCCTTGCTGAGGCAGTGATGCAAGATCTGGAAAGTAAAGCTGTTACAAACAATGACGACATTAAAACATGGGACAGGTATGTAGACGATGTACTTGCTACTGTCAAAAAGGACAAAACAGACGACGTCCTACTAACAATTAACAACACCACTAAGAACATCAAATTTACCAAAGAGGAAGAACATGACAACAAACTCGCATTTTTGGACGTCCTAATAACAAAAACATACAACGGCACTTTAACCACACAAGTTTATCGCAAGAAAACACACACTGATCAAATTTTAAATTACAATAGCAATCACCCAACACAACACAAAGTCAGTTGCATAAAGACTCTATTCAACAGAATGACACACATTGTAACACTGATCAATCCAAACAAGACGAACGCAAGTATTTATACTCTACTTTTTACAAAAATGACTACCCTTTAGACTTCATTAATAAGGGGCTACAACATAAACAACAAACTAACACGGACCGACTTAACCAAACAAAAACGAGGATTACACTTCCTTACATACACACTACATCAGAAATGGCAGCTAGACTCCTCCGACCTTTCAACATTGACGTTGCACACAAACCAACATGCAAACTTAGGTCCAACTTCACTAAACACAAAAACAAGACACATA